CCTGCTAGGATCTGGCACTCCCTTCCACAAGTAGAAGGAACAGAAAGGTCTCCCTGCTCAGATCATCAGCAACCTTCCTCTAGTTTCCATCTAAAATTATTAATGGCCTGTTTACTTGGTCCTAGACCAATACTGCCCTTCTGCTTAAATATCAAGGAAGGGGAAGAGTCATGCACTTCTGGCACACTCCAAAACATCAATCACAGTAACTCTTGGCCTTCTGGTAAACGAAGCAAGCCAGACTCAGTGGCCAGGCCAGGCTCCCCATTCATTCCCTGCACCTGTCCTGGCTTCAACTCCTCTGTATGAGCTGCTCCCATGAGACATTCAGAAAATCTTACTAGTGCCTTGGACAAGAGCATTCATACTCTTCTCTCTTCCATTATCCAGCCTGTTTGCACATACTACGTTTGCCTTATTCCCAGCCTCATTATGTCAGCATTCTGGTCACCCTGGCCAGCCCCTTCATTTAACAAGCTTGCAATTATAGCAGGAGGATTTTATTCTCCAAGTGCATGATTCTGCAGTTTCTCTGATGAAACTCATCCTCTGTTTCTCTTACTGTAGCCTTCAAGGACACCCAGTTCTCCAGCGTCTCCTCAGCCTCCCAACTTCACATCATGATCAGGGTTTTTAGTGCACTCTTTGTGCCAGAATTGCTTATAAAAGCATTAAGCAAGATTAGTACTAGGAATCATTCTCAAGAAATGTCACTAGTAACTTCCTGCTATTTCCATTCACCACATCACTGTTTACTTACTCTTAAGTAGTCCATTCAATGGCCTATGAATCTGATTTCTTTTCTAGCTTTACTGGTAATTTTCCCAAATAGCACTGCCTGAAATTCTTTATGGTCTGGAAAGACCAAATCTACCACATTCAGGTCACCTTTACATAAAATACCCCAACAAGCTACAGGAGCAAGCCTCAAGATCAACGGTGCAATTTGATCAGCTCTGCTAGAGGTGAGTGAAGGACACTCATCTCTACAGAAACAGGCAGAATCCAGCGCACCATTGCACGTTTGTTCCATGTTTACATAGTTCCTTCTCTAAATATTTCAGTCATACAAAAATATATCAAATCTGTGAATATCAAGATAAATTCTTCTAAAGCAAGCAGACAAAACCAAACCTTGGCAGGCACTACCTAGTCCTGGGAGGCCCAGGGGAACAGGGTGCAGCAGCAACATTACCCTGGGAGAGTTAGGGGCTGCAGCAGTGGATGGGACACGATTGGTGTCTTAGAGAAAGGAGCAGACCCGTTGTGACCAAAGAGAAGAGCCGCTGCAGAAGCGCCCTCCTGAAGGCAACAAACTGCCTTTCCAAAACCAGGCAAGTTTACAAAACACTAAAAACTCCCCTCCAAGGATATCTGACAGCAACCTAAGGCTAATGTCAGCTTCTCCCCATTTTTTTTGGAAGCATGTTCACACTGTTGTCTTCAGTGGGACAGTGTGCACAGATGGTACCATCTGTACTTCCTCTCTCCTCCCGTTAAGCACCTATATCTGCAGACTCATCAGTATAGGCTTATAATTTTTCCACTTTTCCTCTGTAATCCATTCATGCCTTTTATTCAGAATTCAACCTCCTGGAAGCCACAAAATCAGATATCTCTGTGGAAATAAGACATGTTTAACAAAAATGTAATGTGTGCAAATACTCTTCAAAGTATTTCACAGTAAATGCAATGAAATCAGATGACAGCACACACATACACTTCCCAATAGTTACATAAACTCAGCTGTTAAAATTAAATGCCTTTACATAATAGGTGAAAACACGGGCTACAAACCTGACATTGCAGCAAGCAGTGCATGCTGACAGGGCCTTAAATCCTGACGGTTTGGAAAAGCTGCGTAAGAAGCCAGTATTTGAAACTCTACTAGAATAAATCAAGCTTTTCTAGCATTCTGTATGTTTTTAATGAACCACCATACTAGTACAAAACAAAGTGGAATAACATTCCAACTCCTGCCTCTGTGTTAAGGCAGAATATTCTCTCATATACTTTCATCAAAATAGCACAGATACAGTTTTACAGGAGTGCAACAAACGTAACTGGTTACTACAATGCAAGGAAGATACGGCTGCCCCAAACTCAGCTTCAGCCAGTAACATTCTGCTAACCTAACAAATTGTTCCAGAGCTTCATGCTATTATACTTATTATACAAGGTGCGGTATCAACACAGTGCTACCAAGCAGCTCTGCTAGAAGCTAGTAGCAATTCTCAAGAGGACAGATTGCATACAGTATATACAGCCCAGTTAAAGTGTCTGAAGTTACAACTGAATTAACTATAATAATTTCTCACAGTAGTATTTACTAGGTTTACAAGTCCTGTATTTACACCCTGTGCAAGACTGAATTACATGATTGAAAAATAATCGACTTAGAGGCAAAGAAACAACTTCCACTTATTTTCCACTTAACTCCAAAATCAGCCCTCCATTCTTAAGCAAGATTACTCCAAAGCAAAGGTTCAACACATCTCACCCCTTTCTGTGAATCTGGAAAAAATTCTGTTCTTTAAGTTGATGAAAGTCCCATCTTTGATCCCACCTATCCAAAAGATCTCTTCTGCTAATCAGAACCAAAGACACTGCCACCTTCAAGTCCAAAATTAGGTCCAGAGCGTGGCTTAAAGGAGCTACCAGGAGTGCAAGGTATACAGCTCTTTGAAAGACAAATTCAACCACAGCACAAGATAAAAACAGCTTCAGTTTAGAATGTTTTAGTAAATTAAGAATTAACATTTATAATAACAGAAATCTGTAACACATCTACCTATAAATTTACCTTAATATAGTACCTAAAAAATAATGAATGTGTACTACCTGCATTTTAAAATATAATGTTAATATAAGGATTGGCAATTTAGGAGTGTTATTATATTACTTCTTTTCAGTATGAAAATATGTTGAACCCAAATCTGAACTTGTGATTAAATATACCATAGCCATTGCAAAACTAACTGAATCATAAATCACTCTAAACAAAGTTATCAGAAAAGGGAAATTTTTCAAAGCTATGTCAGCAAGAGCAAAGCATAGCTTAGGGTTAGCACAGTTATCTCTCATAACAGGATACGTTAAGTCAGGTCTTGGACTAGATCCATATTCTATCTGGTATGCAGCTGGGAAGAGCTGAGCTGGAAAAGCAAGTAAGATTCAGGCATGCTGGTAGCATAACAAAAGATGGTTCATACCACACTCTACTATACTATATTCTGCTCAAGGTAGAGCGAAGGGTCATTGCAAGCAGGAGTTTAAGAAAACACTCGATGTTGAGATCAAAAAAGCATGGTATGTGCCTGCAAAGGAAGTGAGCTTTTAATTTTGAAAATTCATTTGAAAGATTAAAAGAATCCACATCTTTATAGCATGAAGATAATTTGTAGCTAGGAACCATGCTAATTTTCATTATCACTTCATTGATTTCTGCACATTTAATATGCTTGCCTGCAGCTAGCAGAGATGACAGACAGCTTTAGTGGGGAGTTGTCCTGAGTTTTAAAGATCAAAATTTCTCTCTGGAGAGCTTTCTCATTTACATACTAGGCATTTCAGAGCTTACTGGGTACATGCTAGCCTTCTCCTGAAGCAGAAACGCTTTGCCTGCCCCACCTGTAGCTACCACACTGCACTGGTTATCTCCTCACCGTGACATTCCCCAGAGATTATCTGCAAGCAGAGCACAATTCTGCAATCATATGCACATTCAACTGACACAGCAGAAATCCCAAAGACAACGGATCAATAAGTGAGCCAATGCAGGTATGCACAAGAAGACTTACATTAGGATTAGAGACTCTTACTGTTACAGTGCAAAGTATATTTGGGATCATTTTTTATTTTGTTGAAGCAAGCTTTCCAAGGGTGAAGTGTTCAAATATTTTACATTTTAAGTAAAAAACTACAGTCTTGATTTTTACATTTTCATTATTTTTCAAGCAGTAGTTTTAGCTCCCCAATTTTTTTATTCCAGGCTAGAAAAGGTTGGTAAGAGACTAGCAGTAAACTGTAAAACCTATCTGTAAGTAATTTTTCTTACTGTGAGAATATTAACATTTAGTAAACAGTAAAACAAATCTGAATGTATTTTACAGAAATCATTTTCTTAACTAAGAAGAGTCCAACTTCATTCATACAGCATGCCACTACTGCATGCTTTGATAGAATTTTTTTTTAATCGATAACATGGACTGGAAAAGTCATTGAGAAAATATTCTTTTGGGGCATTTATCATCAGCAAGTTAATAATATACAGACATTCTGTCTATGAGAAATACTCAGTTCTTTATGCTTTGAAAGTAAGCCACTCCTAGCTTTTTCATTACCAAAACTTAGGTAAGTCAAGAGCTACTGACTCAGACAAAAACATTAGGTTTTCCTATGGAACCACAAAGATTTAGTCACTTGACATTTTTAACACCAAAGCACACTGCATCTTCAAGGAACACAACACAAGCGTGGTTTGAAAGGAAATGTTTTCATTATTGGTTACATTAGGCAGCTCAACAACAGCCAACATCAGTCTTGACTGGTGTGTCTGCAGCCCACTCGGTTTGATCGTTCCTTTGACATACCCATCCAAGCACTTGTTTTGACCCTGCAGGGAGCTGGTTCAGAAAGTTAAGCTGGCAACAAACTAACTGTGCAAAAATAATCCCACAGGGAGGGCAGGGCTGCAGCAGTACTGGTCTGGAGAGGCTGGCTAAGGCCGTTAACGAACTACAGAAGTAATTTATGTATTTCTCCCTTTTTTTTCCCTCCAAAACAAGATATAAAACCAAGGCTATTACTGCTAGACTAGGAATAAAGGAAGCAAGGATATACGAAATGGCTGCTTCTACATGGAATCACAACCTGTTGCTTTTACAAGCATTCAATAATACTTTCAAATGGCAAAGCATTCCAAGAAATAACTGATTAGAAGAAGCTATTTTTGATCACCAAAAATCTCCTTGAATGACTTACCAGAAACATTAATTGATGTTCCTGCATCAATAATTCCACTGTTAGGCCTTACACAGTATCTACGTGGTGCTGTGGTCTTAACTTTGAAGCACACATTTCTGTCTGTAGGATTGCCGAGTTTTAGGTTTGTAGTGACAACATCTGTGAAAGGACCTGAGGAGAACAAAAGCAGACGTGAAATCACACAGAAGGGACTTCTCAAGCAGAGACTAAACAGGCTCTAAGTCTCAGTTCACAAATCTTATAAAGTAATTAGATGTCCAATTTCCATCTATGGCACATACAGGTAATCATGCACGCAAAGCTGCGGGTGCAGCAAGGCCTCTGAGCATTCTCACACACAGCATGTCCAACACAACCGCTCAGGCTGATCATTAACAGCAAAACAAAAAGGGAAAATCATTTATACATTGTTCCAGCACAGCATTCCAACAATGCCAAATTCTCTGCTGCATCACAGTTACCCTGTTCTAACTACTGAATATCAGTAAAACCAGGCTTACAGAGATACCATATATGTTACAGGTGATAAATAGGGGAGTACACCAGAGTACATGAGCTAAAAAGGGAATGGTGACAAAATGGCTACTACAGATTCATCTGCATATGCAAGCTGCGCCTCCACACAAGCAGGATTTCACCAGGTATTCAGAAATGCCACACCAAAACCAGCCACATCAGCATTCAGGGGGCACCCCCTTTGCCTACCAAAGCTTTGGTTTTAATTTTTAAATAAAACCTTCATAAAATATCCCACCTGACCCAAGGCAGAAAATGACCATGTGGAAATTGGAAAATTCTTGGATGCTGAGAGCACTGGCAAAGATTTCCATGTTAGAAAAGCCAGAACCAAACCATTATCAAGTTCTGGGATACCAAGCGCAGGCAAATCAGTTTCTCACAGCCTCACTACCTAGTCGAAACTGCCAAAATCCCTCAGGTTAGAGGCAAGGTGAGTTTACTGATTCACTGTAAGACCCTGATAGATCAGACAGGTAACACACAACAACAGTGTGCGCTCAGATGGTAGAGAAATAAAATTAAAAGACCTAAGCACATTTTGATCAACTGTCTTCTGCATAAAAGTAACTAATTTGATGCTTGAATAAAATATCTTCATCTATCCTCAGAAGTAAAAAAGCAAATTGATCAAAAAAAGTATTGAAACTTTCCTTGCAGAAATGATAGCCCTAAAATTCAAAAAGGGTGAATGATGATGATGATAGAACACTAGCAGGCAGCATTCCACCATCCTTCTGCAGCATGGTTGGCTTAAAATAATTTAAGTTCACTTCCTTTTCTACAAACTTATCACACAAACTTATCTCCTAAGATAATATTTAATACAGCTGTAGAAGTACTGCAGTCCTGCAACCTTTATCCTTCATCTAATTTAAATAATTGGAAGGGCAAAAAACCCAAAACAATCACACACACACACAAAAACCCAACCAGACAACAATGGAACATCATTTCTGCCTGAGCTCCAACCAGGCCAGCTTTGCATTTACACTGCAATCTGGTAGCAAAAAAAACCTGAAGCAATAAATTTTTCATATCCTATGACAAAGATTTCACTAAACCTGTGCCTGGTGAAACACTGGGAGCAAAAGAGAATGAAACAGGTGTTGAGCTTTCTCTGTGTTCTGCATGCAGAGACTTCTGAGTCTAATGGAAAACACTTGGCAGAACAGCCATGAGCCGTTAGAGAACTTGAACAAGCCAAACCAGCAGAAAAACCCAGCAAACATTCAGGTGTGTTAAAGACAGTGGCAGATCTTCAAGATAGCTCTAATGGAAGAACATTTCAGAAGAAATTACTCAATGCCTAAACACGAAGGAGGTGCCTTTACTAAAAAAAATCACAGCTTGAGCTATTCCAGCACAGAGGGAGAGTGGTCTCTACAAAGCCCAACATACACAGCTGCATCCTCAGTAGTACTTTACTAGACTGCATGCTGGGATAGATTTCCTGTGGGAAATACCATGTTTGTACTTGGCTGATCCATGAACGCATGCCGGATTTGTGTGCCCCAGCATAGAGCTGCTGTTTGTAATGGTAAAACAACAATTCTGTGTGTAAAACGATTTCCAAATGGAGTTACTTAGTGCTAACACAGATCATATCAAAACACTTGGCAGCAAAACCTTTCAGCAGATCAAATTCATTTCTTCTTGTCGGATTGACGTTTTCTGTCCACTAAACTTTAAACAGTTTAAGTTCCATTTTCCCCAAATTACAGAATTTACAGATGAGCCAGCACAACTCTACTAGAAGGCTGATGTCCACTTTCAGCAAACTTGTGTGCAGGCATGTGCCTTAGGGCACTGCTGTTCAAATACTGTAGCAAAGCAAAACAGAGCAGCCAAATACAGGATTAAAGTGCCGTTTTAGGTGTTCTGAAGTGTGTAAAAAAAGAAATAGACAACAGAGCATTACTCAGGGTAATTAGGGCATGGCAGTGAAATATTATCAGGTTGGCTGGCCTGTCTTTTCAAGAGTGAGGCCTGCAGACTGCCAACTCAGGTTGAAATGAAACCCTGATAGCCTGCTGTTAGACTACTATAACCTAGATCTGACATTTTCTGGGGAGGCTGGAGTATGTGGGCAAACTGATCCCAGTATAAATACAAGCTAATACTGCACTGGAGTTACACGCTTGCTCTCTACATCTGGATTTGAGCACTGCAGGTAAGGTTGGGTTGGGTATTTACAGTTGTATGAGACACATATCTACCCTGAAGCCTCATTTTTCAATGCAAGGCATTATGACCTGTGGAATCATACCCACAGGTTCAGTAAGGTAAAATGCTCTACACTTCTTTCCATCGCCTTTGTCCTCACTGCAAGTGGAAGGACTATGTATACAAGTATACACACCACCTGGACAATGCCTGTACCCCCAAGGTGGGCTGTAAGCACACATACAGTCACTCAGACTGGTGCATCTGGGTGGTACTTAGACAAAAGCAGCAAGAAAGCCAACAGTATCCTGGGCTGCAACAAAAGGAGCATGACCAGCAGGTTGAAGGAGGTGATCCTGCCCCTCTACTCTGCTCTTGTGAGACCTCACTTGGAGTATTGTGTGCAGTTCTGGTGTCCTCAACATAAAAAGGACATGGAACTTCTGGAACAAGTCCAGAGGAGGGCCACGAGGATGATCAGGTGACTAGAGCACCTGAAGACAGGCTGAGGAAGTTGGGGCTGTTCAGGCTGGAGAAGAGAAGGCTGCATGGAGACCTCATAGCAGCCTTCCAGTATCTGAAGGGGGCCTATAGGGATGCTGGGGAGGGACTCTTCATTAGGGACTGTAGTAACAGGACAAGGGGTAACAGGTTCAAACTTAAACAGGGGAAGTTTAGATTGGATATAAGGAAGAAGTTCTTTACTGTAAGGGTGGTGAGGCACTGGAATGGGTTGCCCAGGGAAGCTGTGAATGCTCCATCCCTGGCGGTGTTCAAGGCCAGGCTGGACAGAGCCTTGGGTGACATGGTTTAGTGTGAGGCGTCCCTGCCCATGGCAGGGGAACTGGAACTGGATGATCTTAAGGTCCTTTCCAACCCTAACTATTCTGTGATTCTGTGATTCTAAGTTGACTCTGCAGTGGAGACTGACTCTTACTGTGTACCTGAACAGAAACTGCACTCAAACACATTTATTTCATAATACTCAAAACACTGTAATTTTGATTGCTCTTAATATTTCTAGATAAGTGAAACATATTAAAACAGGATGCTTTCAAGTGACAATTCACACACACACACACACAAAAAAGGAACTATTTTTCTCCTTTGTGTTTAAAAGATCATGAGAAAAATGCCACTGGTGTCATCCCAAGGACAAAGTTATGGGAACCTCAGATTGTGTACATGCATCATCTGACATGGGGTTGTCATGGGAGCAAGCTGTCCAGAAGGAAGAATGTAGTAAATTGAATTTGGTGGTGAAAGTCTGGAATGTTCCACAAGGGCTTGATGACTTTTTCTTGCCAGTTAGAATAAAGTTAGCTTGTGTAAATGCAAACTGGACATCCAGTGATACACAAACTAGCAGCACTACTTGAAGGTAAGGAAACATCAGCCGGCCTAGTTTCAAACCACAACTGTGGCTTTCCACCCAGGCACACAGCCCTTCACATTTGAAGATCCCAGCATTATCGCAAAATTTGCCACGCTCCATTTCCTATTCAAACACCAGTGCTGTATCAATCTCCTAAGAGTGTCATTCTGCAGTGTACTGCATTATAATATCCTGGATCATTTTAGTAATACAAAAGCCTGGGAATTAGGTCACACGAACATGATGGCAACTCTATTTAAATTTTATATAACTCTCATTGCAATAAAAGTTGCCTGTAATTGTACCAGCAAATCCAGGCAGATAACTTTGATCAGCACAGTACTTGCTATAAGTTTCCTGCCACTCACTACTCACAGAAATAATATGACACACCTATATCACAACTGAATCTTAATATGATTTCTCACCTGAACCAAAATTCCGCATTTTAGCTTGGCAAATAAACAATCCCAATACACATGTGCAGCAAGAACGCTGCTGTAGCTCTCTTCAGCATGACAAAGAAGTTAGTGCAAGTATCAGCGGAGGTAAAGCTTCGATAGAAAAGGCTTGGGCAGGGGCATTCAAACCAAAGACGCACAGTCCTCTGCAGATTTGTACATGCAAATATGACTACAAGTTTATAATTAACTGCACACATTAGGTGGGACACAGTCCCAGGGTTGCTTTATTCTGCGCTAGTCCTTCTTGCTGCTGAAAGGGGAGGTGATCTGACTTCTCATTTCCACCAACTGCTTGAGCTAGCTGCAGTGTTCATCTACGTGCACTGAGCTGAGCCAGGGAGCTGTTTGGGCTGAAAATAAATCCACTTACAAGACGGGGAGCGGGCAGTGGGGAAGAGAAAAAGGAGAATCAGTTTTCAGCCAGACTAAGCAGCACTCAAGACACTGGCATCAGGAAAACTGCATCTTTCTGCACAGCATTCTGCCAACGTAAGGCAACAAGGTCTCATACTTAGTAGGTTAAAGCTAGCACTGCAATCACACGAGTAGTGGTGGCACAGTTGTTAAAAAATAATGAAGGCACATGCCCATTTTTTTCCGGCTTAAATCTAATGCAAATTCTCATCTGT